TCCTACTTTCTTATTCTTTTTCAGTAATGCTTTGCTTAACTGGTGTCTCTTTGCTTTCCATATAAAGTTGATGATAAGTTTTTCCATCTCTTTAAGAATGATGTTGGAACCTGAATTGGGATTGCATTATGTCTTTAGAATGCTTTGCACAAGTATTTTTAAGTTGTGTCATTTGTATTGATGTTAGATCTCATTGTGATTATTTTACTTCTGAGCACAATGTGTTTAAGATGCATCCATGAAAAATAAGGCGAATGGGAGAATAGCTAGGCAGGTTTACATGGGCTAAATAGAACAGAAGCAAATAAAGATGTAAGCACAAACATGGAAAACAGGGTTCATGGATACAAAGATTGAGGTATGTTTTGAATGGGTAAAAGTGGGAAAATGATGTTAAGATGCTTGGCTGTCTTTTGAATCTTGGTTTCCCTTGCTTGCTATTATAAAATAGACACTTGAAGGGGAGAGAGAGGAATAGCAGAAACATCACCAGAGAAAGCTTGTAAGTCTGTCTTCTGCCTGTAACTGATTGTTGTTGTTGTTAAGTGCTGTGGAGTGGGTTCCGACTCATAGCGACCCTGCACAGGGTTTCCGAGGCTGTAAATCTTTACGAGAGCAGAACACCTCATCTTTCTCCCACGGAACCGCTGGTAGTTTCGAACTGCTGACCTTGAAGTTTGCAGCCTGATTCGTAACCACTACGCTACCAGAGCTCCTTATAGTGATTGGAATACCTAAAATGGGGCTAGAACTTGCCCAGTGAAGGAGGCTTCCTGCAGAGCCTTTGCATTGCACAATACCATAAGTGGAATTCTGATCCCCATCCAGAATCTTCTGAGGTGGGACATTTCCACTTGAAAGAACAAGCAGACCAGTCTGGAGCAGCTAGAACAGAAGATACTTCTTGAAAGAAAGACCAGCAGAAAAAATAAAAAATAATTACAGCAGTCCAATTGACTACCGCAAGAACAAGCAAGTTGTTCCCCAGGGAGCCATCAAGGCATGTGGTCAAGTCCCCTCAAAGCACACCCCCTTCCAAGACTGAAATACAATTGGAATACACTAGCAGGCATATGGTCCTGCTGCTGAACACGTTGGCCACCGATAAGGGGAAATGGGGGAAAAACAGCAATGAAGTTATGAACTAAGTCTGACCACATTCAATAGACTTCTGTTAACCTGGATTGAGACCTGGTTAACCAGCAGTATGACGAGACTTGGGGACTCCTGGGCCCAGGGGCAGGGACAGGCCTCAGAGGACTAGAATGGAGTGTAAAGCATCCAGCTGATATGAAGTGAGGGGAGATGCACAAGAACACCCATACTTGGAGATAGTACCCATTTGACCTGACTTCAATGGCTGGATGATCAGAACATGACTAGAGAAAGAAAGAAGAAAAAAAGGAGTAACCTACTATAAGTGGATGAACTTGACATATGCTTGTGGATGCAGTATGACAAAGGAGCAGACAAATCTCTACAGTGAGGATCATTCCCACCCCCTTGGTACAGAGGGTCAACAGGGATGGGGAACTTAGACATTGGCTACCCAAAATGGGGGGACTATAAAGGAAAGAAATGACTGGCTTACACGCTTTCAATAGGGAACCTAGCTCCAAAGTATACAGGGAAATGTAGAACCTCCACTGAATTGTTTCCAATCTGTCTGGATGGGACTGATAAAAGTCGAGGGGGGGTCGCGGGGAGGACTCCTGTGGTTCAATAGAGAATGATTGCTATCAGGTCTGACAGTGAGTGTTGGAAAGGTAAATGTAAATGTTTGGTAACAAAAAGAGGGGAGCGGCTGAGTTTACAGTCCAGGAGCGGAGATCCCTGGAACCATCAAGGGAGAAAAGCGAAGTGTGAGATCCTGTCCAGAGAGGCAGTGACACTAGGGATGGAGACAGAGATGATGTGGACAGAAGGAGCAGCTGGGGACTCTGGACTCAGGGAAGGAGAAGGGCTGTGTGCTGGTGGCCGGGGGGGCAGGTGTGTGGGTTGTACTACTCTTAGCATGTTTGATGATGCATGCAGGGGATCGGGCTCATTGCAATGAAACAATTACGATAGGATGAATGTAAAGATAGTGTTCACCCATGTAAACTAACACATAAATTCACAATAAAACCTTAAAAAAAAAAAATAGCAGAGGAGTGGCAAAGGAGCAACAGCTACTGAGCAAAAAGTGTGGTGGGCTTCACAGCTCATGGATACGTAAAGCTGAGTACTTTTAGCAGGAGGCTCAGTTGTGGAGTGTGGTGCCTTCAGGCTCTTAATTGGGGAAGTTATGTATACTGACCCAAAGATCTAGATTCAAGTACCTTTAGGCTGAGGCTTATGGTAGAAAGGAATGCCCTTTGGCTTTTATTGGCAGCTCTAGAAGAGCTTTGTAACATTAGCAGAACAGGGCAGAGGCCAGCCTAAGGGCCAAAGAGAAGTGTGTGTGCAGACATGGCAGAAAAGAGGTTGCCTTGACCTAAGAACTGAACATTTCTGATCCTTAATTGTAATTATTAACTTCCCTAATAAATCCCATAAGTATGATTATGGTTTATGAGTTTTGTGTGGCCATTGCAATGAATTATCCAAGCCAACTGAGAATTAAAAGGTGCTGTTGGAGGAATGGTTGGGGTCAGAATTGGTAAAGAAGGTTGGAAATGTGGAGGCATGTCTTACCTCAGTCTCAGGATGATGCGGAGTTTGATCCTGCTCCTCCCTGTTTGTGAAATCAGAGGAGGTCTGATGCCAACTCAACACTGTAGAACAAACAAACAAAATATGTATACTGCTTCGTAAGCACTAATGATTGTGTGGGTGGAGCAAGCATAGTTAGTGAAGGGATAGAGATCCTTGTAGGACATAAGAAATTTAGCTATTTTGCTTTTGTTAGGTGCCATAGAGTCAGTACCGACTCATAGTGACCCTATGCACAACAGAACGAAACACTGCCAGTCCTGGACCAACCTCATGATTGTTGCCATGCTTGAGCCCATTGATGCTGCCACTTTGGCAATCCATCTCGCTGGGGGTCTTTCTCTTTTTCTCTGACCCTCCACCCTTCCATAGGAGCTCTGGTAGCGTTGTGGTTACGAATCAGGCTGCAAACTGCAAGGTCAGTAGTTCTAAACTACCAGCTGTTCTGCAGGTGAAAGATGAGGCTTTCTGCTCCCGTAAAGATTTACAGCCTTGAAAACCCCGTACAGGGTCGCTATGAGTCGATTCCGACTCCACGGCACATAACAACCAACAACCAACCACCCTGTCATACATAATGTGATTACTGCAGTGGAAACCTATTAAAAGACTCAAAGAGTAAGGGATAACATGATTGAATTTGTTTAGAGAAGAAATTCATTTGAAAGAAGCAAGAATGAAAGTAAAGACAACAAATAGCTGAGAAGGTATTTGACAACTTCCCTCATTAAAGGAGAAAGTGTGAGGATGAATTGACTTGTGCAGAGATTGTTGGTTTAAAGTATATTGGTAAACTCATAAGAGTGTTTAAGAGGTTACAGTAGAATAGAATAAGAAAAATTTTTTTCCTGTACTAGTTTGTAGACTTGCGCACTTTCTACCTTCACTCAGACTAAGAAGTTTCTAAATAAAGAAATAGTAACCCCCGCTCAAAAAAAAAGCATCCATGTTGCCATGTATACATGTAATCTGCTTCTCACTGGTACATGCGCTCATGTTTCCTTCCCCTCAAGAAGCTGTGCCTTCTACGTCTTTATGCCCAACGCTTAGCATCGTAGATGGTCTATAAATGTTTGTTCAGTGAGTGAATGAATAAGTGAATGATTAAGTTTTGTTGATGCTCAGGATGGGGGCGATATCCAGGTTAGAAGGGACAGTTAGAATGAAGACATGGGAATGCAGTACATAATTAGGGAAACAATTATAGTTTGTGTGCATGGAAGCAATGGAAGGAAGGCTATGGAAGGAGGTGTTCCTGGGATTGGGGTGGAGGGCTTTGGTTAAGCTCTTGGCTGCTAACTGAAAGCTTGGCAGTTTGAAACCCATCGTTGACTCCACATGTGGCCGTCTGCGTCCGTAAAGATTTATAGCCTTAGAAACATTATGGGAAAATTCTACTGTCTTACAGGGTCTCTGTAGTTAGTGAAGAGCAGATATTCAGGACCATATTGATGGTATCTAATATGGATAGGACTCCTGATGTGGTGCTGTGGGTTGATGTGCTGGACTGCAAAGTTGGTTTGAAACACAAGGTTGGCGGTTCAAGCTCACCAGCTGCTCCTTGGAAACCCTATACAGGGCCACTATGCGTCAGAACCAACTTGATGGCACTTAACAATGACAATATGAATATGGGACTCCTGGTGTGGCTTTGTAGGACCAGCACTGAACTTCTAATGACAAGTTCAGCAGTTCAAACCTACCAGCCGCTACTTGGAAACCCTATACAGGGTCTCTCTGAGTTGGAACTAACTCAAAGGCACTTGGCAACAACAATGTGAATAGAGTCCTGGTGTAGTGCTGTAGAATAAACACTGGACTGGTAACCACAAGGCTGAAGGTTCAAACTCACCAGATTCTCCTTAGAAACCCCATATAGGGTTGCTATGACTCTGAACCAACTCAACAGCACATAACAACAATATGAGTATATGAGTAGGGCTAGTGAGGAAAATCGTGTACAAAGCTGTGTGATGTGTACTTGTAATGCCAGAGTGCACAGGGGCAGACATTTTAAATGATAGTCATTCAACGCAGTCATCCACCCCTAGGGTGTCCTAAGTTCCTCTGATTTTCTACTCAGAACTTAACTATGGACTTATCAAAAAGTTTGTTTTTAGTCTTATGTCCTGTTCTGAAGCTCTTGAATTCATTGTCCCCATCAGCATGTCACTAAGCAATATTCAGAACTAAGAAGTTTGCCCATTGAAATTATTTCCTTGCTATCACATGAGTTTAAAGATTTAAATTTACTTTGGGTGAATAAATTAGAAGGATTCTGATTAACTTTGTTCCCCTCTTTTCAGATTAATGCATGGAAAACAACGCTGAATCGTGCCTTGCCCTCACCCCTCCATCAGATTGAAGCTTGGCTGCAGGAGGTAGAGAATCTCATAGATGAAGATTTGCCATCCTCCCAAGATTACTCTGAAGCCAGAAGTCAAACTCAAGAGAAAATGACTTTATTCATGGTAGGAACAGACAAAGCAACATGGGAAATTTTATACTTTCTCAGAGCTGTGCTTGAGAAACACACTGCTGCAGGAAGAAGGAAATAGAGTGATTGTTTAGAATGATTTCTCTGTAGAGTTTTGGTGTCTGGATGATACCTTCACATTGTTCATGAATGTTTTACTAATTTAGGGCTGAAATAATACAAATTGACTCCCATGAGTTCTAAAACAGCTATAAAGTTTGACAAAAGAAGAGGGGTGGGCAGGGAGCTGATTTAAAATGTAGGAGATTGAGTTCTTACTACGCATGGGATATAATAATTTCCTATATAAGATTTATAGTATTTGATTCCTTAAAAAAATAGAAAATACACGAGGAAACAAAAGATTTTGATAATGACTTTACCAAAGAAATTACAGCCTTCTTTTCTGTAAAAATATTCAGTTTAAAATACTTAACAATAACAATACTTATTCACAAATTCTTACTCAGCTTGGAAAAAATAAGATTAAAAAATTTTCCCCAAAATTTAATAATGCATGCACGAATGAGATCAAAAAGCCCTCAGCTCAGCTCCAGTGTTTGGCAGTAAATCTGGTTCATGTCATACTAAATTTCTTTTCAGAATCTGATGAAGAAATGTGACTATCATTCGAATACTCTCCTGGCATTCGAAAATAAAGATGAAAAGAATTTACCATTGGTACCACCTTACAAACTGGAGGAAATGAAGAGACGGTTTGTAACATTACTGTTTAAACAACTGTTTACTGTTCATATTTGAGCACTAACATGATGCTTTGAATAATGTTGTTGAGTGCAGTCAAGTCAATTCTGACTCATAGTGACCCCTGTATAAGTTTTCCAAGGAGCAGTTGGTGGGTTTGAACCATAAACTTTGAGGTTAGCAGTCCAGTGTTTATCCTACACCAGGACTATAGGGATCACAAAGTAGAGATTTTGAGGTAATCGGTGACGTGTCATGTTCATGTGTAATGCTGTCACGTTGGTTCTGACTCATCACAACCCTGTATAGGGTTTTCATGGAGAGGCTGGTGGGTTTGAACTGCTGACCTTGTGGTTAACAAGCCAGTGCTTATCCTACAGTGCCATACTAGGACTCCAGATTTATAGCAAATAATCTTTAAATCTTGATTTAAAAAAGCTTCATGTTTTATGAAGTAGTAATATATCATGCTAGCATTCTTTTTATTGAATGGTGAAATAGGGTGGTGGGCAAAATTCTGAAATAAGACTTAGAAGTTGAGATCAGTGCCTTGGTTTTTTGACTGGGTTACTGTCTTTCTAAGCATGTTTTCTCACTTGTAAATAATCACTTTGCCCATGTCTCACAAGAATACCAGGTCAAATGGGAGAAAGTATACGAAAGCTGTTAATAAACTGTAAGATACTATAAAACAAACATGGGGTGTTTAATTGATAGCGTTCAATTTTGGCACTGTGGGTTAGTGTGCTGGATTGCAAAGTCAACCTTACGGTTCAAGCTCACCAGCTCCTCCTCAGAAACCCTATACTGTCTCAATATATACAGTTTTACTATGTAAAGGTAGACTTCTAATTGCATACAGTTTAACAGGTTTTTAGATTTAATAAAATATTTTGGAGATCAACATTTTATTATAAGATTTTGCATTAGGAAAAGAGTCTCTCTAATGTATATTCTGTGTTCAATGTCTTTATTTAGAAAAATTTCTGAAAAATGTTTTGCTGCTATTTATAACATTTTCCATGGCTGTATTCTCAGAAGTAGTCCTCCTCTCCTTCTTCCTAATCTGTTTTAGTCTGGAAGCTCAGCTGAAACCTGTCCACCATGGGTGATCCTGCTGGTAAGCAAAATAACAGTGGCATAGCTTCCAGAACCACCACAGTACCACAAACTGACAAGACACATGGTGACATTTTAGAAACAGTTGTGTTTTATTTAGCCACAAAGCTTGTTTTACTTCATTGGAGAAGGAAAACAAGATTTGAAGATGCACCTGAATTCCACATGTTTTAAAGAAAGTTAAGTGCTGAATGGATATCTCACCATAGGTCAATAGTAAATTAACTTCTCAAATCTGTACTGTTTTCCAGAATGAACCGCATCTTGAGGAAAAAATGCGTCCCACATTTAGAAATTCATAACTCTGTATGCCCAGTTCTTGGTTTACTAGATGAAATGAAATCAAAATTGGATGTTTGGAACATCAAATATGGGAGTAAAGAATCTGTAGAATTACTGCTGGAAGACTGGCATGTAAGCTGTTTTGTTTTGTTTCTTGGACAACTGTTCTGTGTGTCTGGATGCTGGGTTTGCACTTTTCCTTGATGTGAGTTCCTATTAGCTCTTCAGGTTTTCAGATGAGTTTTCTTGGTAGCTCTCATTAGCTTAAATAATTGCCTGGAGAAAAGAATTGCAAGTAGTCAAACAAGTGGTACATTGAAGAGTTAGAAAAAGAAAATTGCTTTTTTTAGCCACCCCAAGGGAGATTAAGATTTAGCCAGGCTAATCAATGTTATGCTTAGAAAAGACTTTGTTACTTCCAATAAAAAAAATTCCGACTTTCACTTAACTTGAGATCTTCTTTAATATATCTTCTCTATTTAGGTTCAGGTCTTAATTAAATCAAATTTTTATTAGAATATTTTAGTCACAGTCTTTCCTAAGTTTTAGAAGTAGGAAAAGCAACTCATTTCTGTTTTATGTTGAGACGTTTTTCCCTTGATTCTTTTTTAGCTGTTGTTCTTCTAATTTATATGAACAAAATGTGAACAGTTTAAATATGGTTACTTCTAAACTAAAAACTAAAGCATCATAAAAATGTCATTTCTTTAGTTAGGCGCATCTTTAGCTTTCTTTCAGTTTCCCTTCCTTTTGGAAATGAAGATGAAGACATAAATCCAAGATAATAGATTTTAATGAAAAAATTGAAAAACATAATGAAGAGAAATTTATCTGCAGTTTATGATTTCAGCACAGTACTTCCCAAACAGGAAACATCATTTTAAAGTAGATGAGATTTTGAATTTATTTATTCCTTTTGCCTTCTTTGATTTTTTTTTTTTTTTCATTTTTAAATGCTTAATTTAATTGGCATATATTACATGTATAATCTTTTATGACTCCATGGCACATAACAACAACAAACATGTATAATAAATATGATTATTTGATTAACTCAGTGTTTTTCCATTGCAGAATTTGTTTGCATAGGACCCATTATAATCTGGCTACTGGTAGACTCTGAAATGTTTTGTATAATTGATGATATACATTAATTACATACTCTAGCTCATTAAAAATTAAAGTTAATAAAATATGTGAAGTAGGGACCATTGATAAATTTTATGTAATAATAAAATATGTGAATTATATGATTCTGAAGTTGCTATAAATACTTAATTTGCCTTTTCCACTAGAGGAAAACCATTGTAGACCACACAACCACATTAAGATAAACTTTGTTGGGTCTCATACATGTATTTTATTCATTATCATATTCATGTTCTAGATCTTAAATATGTTTCTTTATGAAGGTAGTTTTCTTCCTCATTTCCTACTCAAATGTATAGTATTAAAGCTCTAAATGCTTCATCGATGTTTGTCACTGTATTTCTTGGAACATTTTGAAATGTACAAACTCTGAATATGCTTTTTTTTTTTCTCTCCCTCCTGCCCCACCCAGAAATTTATTGAAGAAAAAGAGTTCCTAGTTCAACTTGAAACTTCTTTTAAAAAATGTGAAGAAATGAATCCGAATTTGGGTAAAGCAATAGTTACTTTTTTATTTTTTTTATTAAATGTTTTTATTTTGGATTGAGTGAAAGTTTACAGGGCACATCATCAGCTTCACATTCAACCATTCATATAGTTCGTTTCATTACATTGATTATTATCCCCTCCATATATCATCAGTTAACAGTGTTTCTCTCTATCCTCTTTAGCTTTTTTTTTTTGGGGGGGGGTGTGTGTGTGTGGGGAACTTGCCTTTTTGGAATTTACAGTCTCGGCTTTTAGGGAAGAATACTTACTTTTTGATGGAATATGACCATCACTTAAAAAATAACATTTCATGTCTTTTTGCTTCATGTGTATCTAAATAGAAGTTAGTTTTGCATGTATTTTCCCTGAGGAAATATATGCACTTTGACTTTCAGTATTTCCACTACAAGAATTTTACCACTGTCTGTTAGTATGCAATTATCTTTAATAATAAAACTATTATTACTAAATAACTGTTGTAACATTATGTTCTTGTTTGTTAATGTTGTAGGCAGAGAGTGTCCGAATATTAGTAAGCAATCTGTGATGGTGGATTATAAGACTTGTGGGTATAGAGAATGTATATATAATGTGAAGTCCACTTTACAGAAAGTTCTGGCGTCTTGGGCTACTTATATGGAACACCTTCGCCTACTTAAGGCTTGTTTTGAGGAGGCAAAAAAGGAACAAATTAAAGAGGTATTTGTTATCTAATGGTACTTTGTCAATTTTACTTTTTTTTTTTTTTTTGAGACCATCATTTTTCAAGCCAAAAATAATACATGAGGGAAAAATAAATGTGTGTACAAAAATTCTCTAAGTTATTGGAGAGAATTTGATTTCCTCCCAATTTATTGCCAATAGGAAGTTTCTCCTCAGTATAGGTTTAAACACAAGGTTTTATTGAGGTATGATTTATATATTCAGGATAGCTTTTGGAAGATAAATCGCTACGTCCCCTTTTATTTTTAATTGTGAATTGAGTGAAGGTTTACAGACAAGATCATCAGCTTTATATTCAACAAATCATACACTGTATTTCATTTCAATGATTAGAATCCCCTGCAACGACAGTTATCCTACTTCCTTCCTGTGGCTACCATTGACATATTTCACGAATGAACAAAGCAAAAACATTTGATGTATGCATAAAAAACAAAATATATAGATTCATTTAAATTTCCAAAGGGCACATTCTGCAAGCCAGCCTCCTGCCTGCAGGCACACAGCCTTCCTCAGGCCATGGGCCTAGAGCTCACAGCTCCTCTGTGTCTCCATGCCACCACTTCTACCACCGTCTCTGCTGTTGCTGGTTTTCTAGGTAGGATCTTGTGCTCCACTCATGTTCTTCCTTCTTATAGGTCCTGGAATCGTCTGTTCTTGAAATGAAAGATTACTCCCCCTTTTAGATACACATCTTCTGCAATTACAATTGTGATAATCACAATTAATCCTGCTAAGAATTACTCACAATTGAATCATTAAATTCTATCACCAACATCCCTCATCCAGATCCATCTGGAAAAGAGGAAAAGTAGTCAGTGGGGATTCTACCTTACCCACCTCAGTCTGAAACTAAGCACAGGTGCAAAAGCTTGTAGTCCAGCCACTTCATGCCTTTTTAACACCCCCCCCCCCATTTTTATAATATTACTAAGTCATTGAGAGAGAAAGCAAAAGATGTGGGGGACTAGATAAGTTTCTAGACAAATTTTAAACTGATTTAAAAGAAAAAAATTTTTTTTCCATTTGGATAAAGACTTTTAGCTCTAAAACCTTTCTGAGTTTATACAGGATGCAAAACAAATACTTTATACTTACATGGAGAATTGTGGAAGAAATACCATTGTAATTATTCATACTAAGTAGTTCTAGAATCTGTTATGCAATTATTTTTTGAGGTAAATTTTTATTTTAATTTCTTGCCTCTGTTGCAGATGAATATAGATTGTCTTTCAGATTAAACATTTCCAAATGGAAACTAAGATTACTCAGTAGAAAATAGAGCAATATTTGTTTGTAGGAAAGCAAAATTTGTGATAAATGTAGGTGTACCAAAAAACCCTTTTAAAGAAGATAATTAACCATCACTTTTTCCTCTCACCTGTATGTTGTTGTTGGTAAGTGCCCTTGAATTGGTTTTGACCCCATAGCAACACTTTATAGGGTTTCTGAGGCATGGCTGATGAGCTTGAACTGCCATCTTGTGGTTCAAACCGACTTTGCAGTTCAGTTTATTAACCCATAGCACCACATATGGATACCACATTTCCTATATGGATACCACAAACTCAAAACTTTGCTTTTAAACATTTCCTGCCTTTAAAAGTCATCTATTGAAATACACATAATTGAGAAAAATAGCATTATTGTTGTTTTTAAGTGCCATCGAGTTAGTTTTGACCCATTGCTACCCTGTATAGAGTTTTCAAGCAGAAACTGGTGAGCTTCAATCACTGACCTTGCAGTTCAAACTGACTTTGCAGTCTGGTATATTAACCCACAGTGTTACACTAGGACTCCTAGAAAAATAGTACAGCGAGCCCGTTACTGCCATTCTGTGCTGAGGTACCTTGGGTTGCCATAGACAACCCTGAGGATTTTTTTAGGTTTGGGGGGGACTCAGCAGTATCTATCTGTTGGACACTTTGCAAACCAATACTCTTAATTTTTAGATTTAGCTACCTAGTAAAGAGCACTGTTAAATTCTGTGGCCTAGGGGCACTGTGAAAAAGTTACTGAGGCAGCAGGGGTGCCTGGAGTAGAAAAAGTTTGGGAATCCCTCTGCTCTAAACTCAGCATCATGGATGATGACAGGTGTCTGGCACTTGACATTAGGGATGAGGAGTTAGATTGACAGGGACAGAGAAATCCCAGAGAGAGGCACAAATCTTTGAAAAACCCTCCACATTTACTTTTGTTTAGATTTAACCTTGGTAAAAATCAACTGTGAGTAATAATAAGGCAAGTCTTATGTCATTAACATATTGCATTGCTTATATGTTGTATAGATTCCCTTTGAGACACTATCCCAGTGGAATCTGGAACACACTACCTTCAATGAAGTAGGGAATTTCTTAATTGAAGTCAGTAATGATGAAGTTGGATCATCTATTTCTAAAGAACTGAGAAGACTGAATAAAAGGTGGAAAAAGTTTATTACAAAAACTCAGCTTGTAAGTTCTTTTCTGTTTGTTTTAAATATATCAGCTTTATTGAAATGCAATTTACAGACCAAACAATTCATTCATGTAAAGTGTACAACTTTAGAGCATTTTCTTCACCCCCAACAAGAAATATTGTACCCTTTAGCATTTATTCCTCACCTCCCTTAATACCTTTTGACCCTCAGCAAACACTAATCTATTTTCCATTTCTATAGATTTGCCTATTCAGATGTCTCTCATAAATGGGACAATAAATATGTTGTCTTTTATGACTGACTTTTTTTTACTTAGGTAACATTTTCAAGGTTCATTCATGCTGTGCCCTGTATCAATGTATTTCATTCTCTTTTATTATTAACTGATAGTCCATTGTATGGATATACCACATGCGTTTTTCTGTTCATCAGTTGGTGGACATTTGGGTTGTTAGTACTTTTTGGCTATTACAAATAATGCTGCTATGAACATTTGCATACAAGTTTCTGTGTGGACACATGTTTTCATTTCTCTTGGATACCTACTTAGAAGAGTTTGTAAGTCTTTGAACCCTTTGAAATATAGTCTAGTTAAAATTCACTGTTAAAGAATAACATAAGCATTATTTTGTGGACTAGATTCCAAGCTTTGTGAGAACATAGACTGTAGCCTTCATTTATCTTTACATTTAGCATGGTGGTGGTGATGGTGGTGGTGTGCTGTGGAGTCGGTTTCGACTCATAGCGACTCTGCGTAGTGTTTCTGAGGCTGTGAATCTTTATGAGAGCAGAAAGGCCTCATCTTTCTCCATGGCATCGCTGGTAGTTTTGAACTCCTGACCTTGAGGTTAGCAGCCTGACTCATAAGCATTAGTGTGAAATAAAAGCAAACCTTTAATGTTTTAAAATTTTAAATTATTCTATTCCTTATTCTTGACAATCAAGACTTGGGTGTTTTTTATGGAGAAGATCATATTTTGTAACAGTTTTATTAATTGATAATTCTCAAAATGCATATTTGAATCTATTCTATCAGCTTATTGTTGTGTTTGTTCACATAGAAATAAAGACATAAATATTACATTGCATGTATTTAATTTTTCACAGGACATGAAACTGCCGCTTATAAAAAAACAGCTTCAGCCCAGTACGGACAGTTCTGGAAATACTGAGCAATCTAAAGAAGAAAAATTAGCTATTGATTTTTCAACAGACATGTCAATAAAACTTCCTGAAAATCACAATACAAATGTAAAGGTAAAATATTTATATTTGGGTATTTAATAAGTTAACTTTGCTAATTTTCTTTTTGTGGCACTGCAGGATAATTACTGAACTACTAAGCACAATGCTGGCAGTTCAAACTCACCAGGAGTTCCTCAGAAATCCTGCACAGTGGTGGAATGAGTCAGAACTGACTTGATGGCATCATCTGCTATATTGTTGGTCTTCCCTGTGTCTGCTTTCTGTCCCTGATCTGTTCTTACATATCTGGAAGTGATTGGTTTACGGCAGATCCTGCGCTGATATGGCCTTATTAACATAACAATGACAACCCTATTTCCAAAGTTCTTTTTTTTTTTTTCTTTTTCCAAAGCTTTTATTATGAATTGAGTGAAAGTTTACAAGTCAGATCATCAATTTTACACTCAACAAATCATACTCGGTTTCATTGCAATGATTATAATCTTCTCCATGCATATTCCTTTTTGTTGGTGTTGTACACAAAATACACAGAAAATACATACTCATTTAAATGGCTAAAGGGCACATTTTGCAAGCCAGTCTCTTGCCCACAGGCACACAGCTTTTCTCAGTCCATGGGCCTAGAGTCCTCAGCTGCTCTATCTCTATGATATCACCTTTGCCACTGTCTCTGCTGTCACCATCTTTCTGGGTAAGGTCTCATGTTCCACTGAAGCGTTTCCATCTTGATGATCCTATGTTGTTAGTGCTTTTGAGTTGGTTTCAACTCTTAACAAACCTGTATCTGCTGATGGGTTTGAATGGCCGACTGTGGTTAGCTGTCCAATGCCAGGAATTACATCCAGGTATTTGTTGTTGTTGTTAAGTGCCATCGAGTCAGTTCTGACTCATAGTGACCCTGTATAGGGTTTCCAAGGAGCAGCTGTTGAGCTTGAACCGCCAACCTTCCGGTTCAAACTGACTTTGCAATTCAGCTCATTAACCCACAGTGCCACACCAGGACTCCACATCCAGGTATAATAACAAACAAACAACAAAAAAAAATCCCAAACCCATTGCTTTCTAGTTGATTCCAACTCACTGACCCTGTAGGATAGAGTAATATTGCATTATAGTTTCCAAGGCTGTAATATTTATGGAAGCAGATTGTTTCAGCTTTTCGCTCATGGAGTGAGTGGCAGATTCAAATCACAGATCTCTTGATTCGCATCTGAGTGCTTAACTAGTTGTTCAATGCCATCGAGTCAGTTCTGACTCACAGTGACCATGTATAAGGTTTCCGAGGAGCAGCTGGTGGGTTTGAACTTTTGGTTCATAATCCAATGCTGAACCTACAGCTCCACGCTTAGCTAGGAGTTAGGAATTACAGTGCATATTTTGGGTAGTATAAATCAGTCCACAATAATCTGAATTTGTACATTATGTTTTTAAAAACCATATTCTGATATATTAAAATATGATCTGATTAAAATAACTTTTAGAGTGTATCTCTCATGTAAAACTGTAGCATGTAAACCTATATAGAATTCTGAGAGATTATTAATAGGAAAAGGTTTACTTTTGTTGAATTTGATCTGGATTTTCTTCTTGATCATATTTTACAATGTTCTAATAGTTATATTTGAATGAAATTGTATGTGACTTTTTAGAAATGTGTTTATAGATTCAATACCTGAAGTTTATAAGTTTTAATTTTCTTGTCTATAAAAGGGAGACAATAGTATCTGATAGGAACGATGCTATAGATATGAAAATATATGTAAACAAACCTTTTAATCTCTAAAGTGGTGCTCATTATGGGAGAGTATTATTGCTGTCCACTAACTAGATCTTAAATCATGAAAATAGACTGAACTAGTAGTCTCCCGATAGTGGTGACGGTTATGTGCTGTGGAGTCGATTCCGACTCATAGTGACCCTGTACAGGGTTTCCAAGGCTGTAAATCTTTACAGGAGCAGAAAGCCTCATCTTTCTCCCACAGAACAGCTGGTGGTTTCAAACTGCTGACCATGAGGTTCGCAGCCCATTTCGTAACCACTATGCTATCAGAGCTCCTTCTCCCAATAGTAAGATATTTACATTCTTGAAATGGAAAATAATTCGTTGTATCAACAGTTCCATTTTTTTTAGTGATAACTTTGAATGTTATAGGCTGGAGAAGAACATGAAACAGAAAATGCAGAGTTCACAGAGCAACTAAAACTGGTTGAAGAGGTTGACAAACTCTCCAGCCAGGTGGGAGTCTGGGAGGCAGAAGCCAAGTCTACTTTGGGTCTTCTTCTTGGTCAAGATGACGTGGACACACCGACAGAAGAATCTTTGCAGGTATGAGTGTGTACAAGTGTGAAGTGGACAGTTTTCTGCTTGTGGATTTATGTTTTAGTATAAATAAAAGTATGAAAGTAAATAGCAATAAACCTATAGTTTCAATCTTCTTTGTTAGAAGTTTTTAAAATGGCATGGTTTTTCAGTCCTCAACTATTTGCTGTGATTTTGCTTAAAGACAGAATGATAGATGAGAAGACCACTATTAATACCTTATGAGTATAAGCACTTGAACTAATATCCCCAGTTTGTAGAATGGGAATTAAAATATTTTCTTGCATCAGAGAGCAGTGAGATATTGAATCAATCCAGTCTTAGGTTGCTCAGTGCTGTGTGGGTATAAGGGATTAGATGATCTATGCTTTGAAAGCTCAGCCACTGAGCCCCTCTTCCCTCCTCACTTGATGGAGGGAGAGTGACTCATGTTCTTGTAACTCTGTTAATTCTCTGCCAGTCACCTCTTCAAAACCCAGTGAGGCAAGAGGGTGTATTAATATCACTCAGTTCCTTTGGGAAAGAAGTTAACGACTGAGATTTGTACTGAGTTTCAGCTCAGCTATAAAATTGCAGAACATGTTATGGTCACAGGATGCGAAGTTTATAGAATAAAGGAGTATTTACATAATTTATGTAACTCTGCATTTCTGAAAAGTGTCTATTTCAGCATTTTGTGTTTACAAGAGTGATCATTTTCATTATTAAAAAACAACTATATACACTTAAACCTTGTCTTGTGCCAGTCCTTTTTTAGTTTTCTTTTTTGTATCCAATTATTTGCTGAATAAGCTTGAGTTTATTTTAGTGAAAGAAATGTAATATTTTAATAAGACTTTCTAAACATTAAGAATGACCGACCCCTCTTATAAATGGTGAGCATACAGCCATCCTGAAATATTTCTTTTAAGGAAGAATCAGGTAGATCTCTATTGGATTAAGAGACTGTATAAAGATAGATTGTTAAGTAAGAAATGCATGTTATTGAACAGTTTGGTCAGTGTGATCCTATTTGTGTTTTTTAAAAGAATTGCTATTTTATTTCTTTTATGTTGTTAAGTGCCGTTCAGTCGGTTCAACTCATAGCGACCCTGTGTAGGGTTTCTGAGGAGCGGCTGGTGAGCTTGAACTACTGACCTTGTGGTTCAGTCAAACTGAATATCCATAGAAAATATCTGTAAGGATATACAAGCAACTCTCTTGGTCCTGTAGTATTCCCAGATCCTAGTGCTCTACCTGGCACTTTTGTTAGGTGCAGTCCAGTTGATTTTGACTCATGAGTAGAACTGCCTCATGGGGTTTTTCCGGCTGTTCTCTTTACATAGGAAACCCTTGTATCCCCATGGCTAAGAGCTCAGCTGCTAACCAGAGAAGTTGCTGGTTTGAATCCTCCAGCTGTTCTGCAGGAGAAAGATGTAAAGATTTACAGCCTCAGAAACTCTAAGGGACAGTACTACTCTGTCCTGTAGGATCGTTGTGAGTGCAATTAATTACATGGAGGCAGATGTGGTTTCGTTCTTTTTTAATTATATGTCAGTAGGTCATCAAGTCTTTCTCCCTTGGAGCTGCCAGGTGGGTCTGAACCACTAACCTCTTGGTGTTGTAGCAAAGTGCGTAACTATTACACCACCAGAGTTTATTCCTGGTACATACCCAAACCAAGGTCACTGCCATCAAGTTGGTTCTGACTCAGAGTGATGCTGTGCGACATAGTACAGCTGCTTCACGGGGTTCCAAGGTTGTAAATCTTTACTGAAGCAGACTGCCACATGATTCTAACACAGAGCATCTGGATTAATAGCCCAACACTGTAACACTGTGTTGTCGGAGCTTTTTCTTGGTACATGGCGGTGGTGATAACTGTGTGCCATTGAGTTGGTTCAGACTCACATCAACCCTGTAAGTCTTTATGGGAGTAGAAAGCCTCATCTCTTTCTTGGAGGAGCAGCTGGTGGGTTTGAGCTTCTGACCTTTCAGTTAGCAGTCCAACATGTAACCCACTGTGCTACTTGGGCTCTTTTTGGTACATGTTGTTGTTGGTAAGTGCCATCAAGTCATTTCTGACGCATAGTGACCTGTGTAGGGTTTCAAAGGAGTGACTGTTGAGTTTCCTGTGTAGGGTTTCAAAGGAGTGACTGTTGAGTTTGAACCACATACATGGTAGTTATAAAATAAATATTTCTTGAATGAGTGTGTGAATAATTGATTCAATGAGAATTAGGGGAATGAGGAAAAGAACTTTGACTCTACATGCTTGGGCTCCTGGTATAGCATTGTAGGATCAGTGCTGGACTGCTAACCAAAAGGTTAATGATTTAAACCCCCAGTCACTCTTGGAAACCCTATACAGGGTCAAGTCATTATGAGTCTGAACCAACTTAAAATGTACTAAGCTTGAAAATACCTTTCTATTTTAGTTTGTTTTTATTATACCAGAACTGGTCGTGGTTGTTATTGGTGGTGTACTGTGGAGTTGGTTCTGGCTCATAGCGATACCTTGTACAGGATTTCCAAGACTGTAGATCTATGGGAGCAGAAAACCTCATCTTTCTCTTGTGGAACAGCTGGTAGTTTCGAACTGCTGACTTTGAAATTAGGAGCCTGACTCGTAACCACTATGCTAACAGATTGAGTCATAATTTTGTAAAAATGCCTAAATGTAGCTGAAAACTGTTATTACATTATTTTATTTTCACTTTTTTGATCGGCAATTGACATATGTATTTGTTGCTATGAATGATCTGTTCTTACAATTTCTGAATTTTCTTTAGGATCTTAGTGTATTTTTAATGAATTTTTAAGCTTTTTAATCTTGATCCATCTTTGACATTTAATTTGTTTATATCTCATGAAAGACTTTTTTGTTTGTATAGTCATATCTATCTCTTCTCTTGTGTCTAAAAAGGTTTTCTACCAGATCCAGAAAACAGATCCATTTTCATAGGCAATTTTTTGTTTTTGTGGTTTCCAGTTCATTACAAAGCATTTCAGTTGATTTCTGAGACTTTACAGAACTAGAAAGCCTCATCTTTCTCCCATGGAGCTTGTCCTACAGCACTTCCAGGGATATATATATCTTCATCTGGAATTTATTTATTTTTGTATGTTGTATAGAGTATGATTCTAAAAATATCATTTTCCAGTGTGGTTTTTTGTTTTTTGTTTTCAGTAACATTTATCTATCAACTATGAGTTGTTGTTGTTATGTGCCATGGAGTTGGTTCCGACTCATAGTGACCCTGTACAGGGTTTCTGAGGCTGTAAATCATTATGGGAGCAGAAAGCCTCATCTTTCTCCTGTGGAACCACTGGTAGTTTCGGACTGCTGACCTTGCGGTGCCCAGCCCAATTCGTAACCACTACACTACCAGAGATCTGAGTTAGAACAACTTAATTATAAGATTTTTACTACCCTCTCAGCTGCTGCTGCTGCTTTTTTTTTTTTTTTTTTGTATTGACATTGTGTTATTTTCCAGTATTTTATTCATGTGCCTACTTTTTTAGAGATTATAAGAAAGCATGTTGTTCAGAATCTGATTATATTAGATAAAATTTCTAAAGGAGCCTTAAAAACAAGTTTTCTTGGAATGCAGATCTGTTTTACTTTAGGTTAATAATTAGTGGATTAATGCACTGGTTCTGCAAAGTCGGTGTGAATCACAAGGTCAGCAGTTTTAAGCTCACCAGCTGTTTCTCAGAAACCTTATACACGATAGTTTTGGGCTGGAACTGACTTGACAGCACTTAACAACAATTAGTGTTTACGTTTTCCTGATTAGATTATATAGTTTAATGTTCAACATATAATCAGGGTGGTTTATGATGAGCTTGCTTCTGTTTGTTTTAATAGCATCTTATTGCCAAAGGGTCTATGTATGAAGAGCTTGTGGCTAGAACTGAAGACACTTTACAAATGGATATACAAAATATTTCAAGTCAGGAGTCTCTTCAGCAGGTTCTCACAGCTGGGCTTCAGACAAAGATTCAAGAAGCTAAAGAGAAAATCCAGGTCTCTCTTTAATATTTCCTGTTTTTTTTTTTTTAACTGAATAATCAGTAGGAGGGTGAAGATGGGGTAATAGTATAGCAGTTTACTTGGAAATATTTTACAAAATATTAATTTTTTTATTATAACTTATTAGAAAATAATTTAGAACATATTGGAAAATATAACAAATATAATATTCTCCTGTCTAGTGGATAAATGACTTCCTACTAAAAGGAAATATTCTTTGGCTTAGCAATTTTCTAAGATTTTTCTAAGAAGCATTGAGAATTTTGTGTCTCTACAGATCAATATGATAAATCTAGCGGCAGTGCTGAAGAATTCAACTGATGTTTCACCTGAATTGGATGTCAGACTGAAGGTGGAAGAATCACAGAAGGAACTGGAATCATACATTACTAGAGCTGAGCAGTTACTTGGGCAAAAAGAGAGCAATGGTGGACTCATTTCAAAATATAAGGTGGGAATCTTTTCAACCATCACATGTAAGATTTTTTCCATCATCTATCTCTCTTACTTGGACTCAGGATATATCCATCACAGCAATTATATAGCAGAATTACTATCACTTTTGCAAATTTCCCAATATTTCTCTGGATTTTTTAGTTACTAAATGAGCATAATAATTCTGGCCATTTCCCTCTGCTACATTTGTTTGAGACATGACATTAAATGAAACTAAAACTTGTAAAGGAATTTTGAATAGTTCAGATTCTGTGCATGAGAAATAATACTGTTGGTTTTAATAAAAGTTACTTATGGATGCTATCCTAGTTATCTAGTGCTAGTATAACAGAAATAAAAGGAGGTGGCTTTAATAAGCAGCAGTTTATTTTCTCACAAGTTGGTCAGCCAGGAGCCTGAATCCAGGATGGCAGCTCTGGCACAAGGCTTGCTTTCTTTGTTAGCTTTGGGGAAGGTCCTTGTCTCTTCTGAGCTTCTGCTCTTGGGCAGTCTTCATGCTGCTTGGCATCTCTTCCCACTTCTCCACTTCCTCGCTTGCTTGTTTAATCTGCTCTTCTATATCTTAAGATATAAAATCGACCATACAGGAACCCTGCCTCATTAACATAATAAAGACAGCTCATTCCCAAAGGAAACATAAAGGCAGGCACTGAGGTTAGGATTTGCAACACAATTTTTGGTGAAACACAACTCAATTCATAATATAGGAATCCAGTTATGTTGCTTTTGTATAGAAACAGTTACAGGGTAAGTTTTCATGGCTTTGTTCAGCAGTTGTAACAGTTTAAGATATAAACCAGAGACTTAACTGCCAATTAACACTGAGGAATGTGCTTGAGAGGATATGTAGCAAAGGTAAAGGTTGGTGGTTCAAAGCCCACAGCCGCTCCTTGGAAACCCTATAGAGGATCTCTATGAGTTGGGACTGACTTGACAGCATTCAACACTAACAGCAACATTTGGTACTGCTCCCACACCTGTCAGTGGAGGCTGTGTGTTGCTGTGACACTGAACATGCTTCAGGGGCTATTCCAGACTAAGATAGGCTACGAAGAAAGGTCTGGTGATCTAGCCAGTAAAAACCCTCTGGGTCAATCATCTTGTGCATGAAGGTCACCAACTCCACAGCTAGCAGTAACAAAGTAAAGCAAAACATTTTCTTTTGTTTATTCACTTACCATTTGACACATGTATTGAACAACTGAAATGAGCAAGGTATTTTAGAGGAGATAAAGATGAATTAAGGCAGTAGTCGATATGAGATGGAACCCACTCCACGGCACACCACGAACACCACCACCCACCTGTTGCTCCCACCTCACCTCTCCTTTCTCATCAAGTCCTTCATGTCTCTTCTGGCCATAACCCTATTTTGCCATTAGGGATTGCTGACCACACCGAACCCTATTTCAACTATTTCATCATTGCCATTTTTACAACTTTAAAAGCCTTCTCACCTGGTTGGTGTTATCCTTTTTGCATTTCGTATCTCATAACCACCAACTTTGACCAATACACATGTCTTCTTTTCCACTTTTATGCCCTAGTTGCTGAGAGTATCAAATGGATGTTATAGTCAATGACTCTCTGAAATAATGGCTGCAGGATTTCAGGGGTGATTGGCCCAGGAAGGGAAGAAGGGAGAATAGAGGCTCGTAGGCTCCTTCACTACCAGATGGAAAAGTTGGAGATATTTGTTCTTGAACTGCTTCTCTCTCTCTGACCTGTCTTTTTTTTGGGCTCTGTTATTTAGTGAAGTGGTAATACTTTTACAGAAGAAACAAGATCCCTGCCCTGCTAGGTATTTATTTCCCTGAGACCCATGTAATTGTGGGGAAACCCGGGCAGTGGGAGCTTTCTGCCAGCATAGAGGGCTGGGATAGCTCACTAGGTCATAAATCTAGCAGCCTGCATGGAAGCGTGGGAGAAGCTCCTTTTCTGCAGCAGGCCCATAGTCAGCATGTAATGAGTGAGTGAGTGAATTTCCATCCTTTTTAATTAGAGGCACTCTTATTTGTGCATTTCTTACCATTTTTCTGCCTCTTTTTTACATCTGTTTCCTCAGTCATTAGATAGTCACATGTCTGCTAGGTAAGGAGCAGACACATTGCTGACAACCCTTTCCATTGCTGCTGCTTACCTAGGGTGGGATTGCCAGTGTGGATGGCATTGGGCATACCTTTGAAGTTGAGGGTAAGGCAGTACTGCTTCCTACAGTATAATGACATTTCTATTAACCTTATTATGAACGTTAACCTCTAATACCTGCTGCTGTGTTCTCCATATTGTATTGCTTGTGAAGTATGGTCTTCTGCTCCCAATTAGAGAATTTTTAAGCCCATGTTGTCAATGGGTCATTACCATGCACAATCGTTTTGACCAAAGGAGTAACAAACCATTTTGAATAGTGTGAAGAGACCTTTAACTGTGTCGTTTCTCCTCCAAGTAAATTCAAGAGATGCCAAAGGGATGATAACCTCATTTTTCAAGAGACGTTTCCCTTAAATCCTCAAGTAACCTCCAGAGAAGCCCTTCCCATTTCTATTTATTTAAAACTGACCTACCATAATTTGGCAGTAGAAGATAAGATTTCCATGGTTTTGTTTCTTTTTTTAGGAGGCACTGATCATTTTTAATTCTAAAAGTCTTGCCAAGTATTTGAATGCCGTGGAAGACCTGAAAAATAATGTAACTGAGGATGTAAAATTGTCTTTGGAAGAAAGGAGTAGAGATATCGGTGTAAAATGGGAGGTAAGAACATGTGTATATATCTGGGACTTCCGCTGATCTGGGGCCTGATGGTCACCAGAGTGTTCTGGTGTCCTCACTCCTTCCCGCCTACTGTGTATCCCAAAGGAGCTGAGTCTTGCAAGCTGTGATTCCCAGGCTAGGCTCCCACATCATCTGATTTCTGTGGGAGTTCAGCCAATGATAACAATAACAATAACAATTATAGGATGATTCGGGCTTGGGAGACTAGATGAGGCTAAAGGATTTCTCTTTATTGCTCTCTCTTGGACATTGTCTCTGGTAGAAACTGTGCCTTTGCTTGACTCCTGCTTCTATAAGACAGACTTGCCATGGTCCCAGCTTCTGATGGGCAGCCCTTCTCCGTGGACTCCACTGAGTCTCTCTAGCCCAAGGGTGGTAGCAGCTTCCTTTTGTGATCGCTGGATTGTCTGTCTCGTCTTTGGTATCTCGGCTCTTTCATCGCTTGTATACTCAGTTCCCAACATTCGATTCCCTCTGCGTTAGATATTTGGAGTGTCTTGTGTTTTCCTACTTGGATATGACAGAGATAATACTGACCTATATACAAATAAAGAACTTCATAATGAAATAGGTACAGGATTTGGTGTCAGACAGACTTTGCTTCAGCAGTCATGACATTGGGTAAGCTTCTTGACTTCTAGGAGCCTCACTGCTAAAATGGATGTAGAACTTGGCAGGATTGTCGTAAGATGAAGGATGATTTCTAGAAACATCTACTACAGATATTATGCTCAGTTAATGATAGTTATTGGTGTGGCACTGTGGATTAATGTGCTGGACTGCAAAGTTGGTTTGAACCACACCTAAAGAATAGGGAATTATGTTCTACATCTCTCAGGCTGAAATAGCTACTGGGTTATTTGGAATTATTCTGTACAGATTTGTCTATTCTCCCTTCTATTTATTCTATCAGTATGAACTCATGACGTTGTTTTATACTTTATAATCTAATTAGGAGCCCTCGTGGTACAAAAGGTTATGCATTGGGCTACTAACTGCAACGGGACTGTGCAGATCCACTAGATGCTCCTGGGGGTCTGCTCCCATAAAGATTTAAGTCTCAGAAACACTCTAGTTCCACTCTATCCTATAGGGTCCCTATGAGTCAGAATTGACTCGGTGGCAGTGGGGTTTATAATCCAATTGTTATTGTTAGGTGTCATTGATTTGGGTCCAACCCATAGTGACCCTGTGTACAAACATCGAAACATCACCAGCCCTGCACCACCTTCACAGTTGCTGCTACGCTCAAGTCCACTGTTAGTACCACTGTGCCACTCCATCTCCTTGGGAGTCTCCTGGGGTTTGGTTTGGTTTTTTCTGTCCCTTCACTTTATCAAACATGATGTCCTTCTCCACGGAATGGTCCCTCCTGATAATTGTACCAAGTATGAGAGACCAAGTCTGGCCATCTTTGCTTCTAGTCGTCCTTCCAACACAGATTTGTTTGTTCTTCTAACAATCCACAGTACCCTTAATATTCTTCTGCAACACCATAACTCAAATGCATCAATTATTCTATGGTCTTCCTTTTATATACACACATATACATAAACTCCGATACTGTCTTATTATTTTGTTGTTCGAATAATATAAGAAGACTGTAAATGATTTTAAGTGGAATCAGTGTGGACCATTAGGAGCCCTTTCAGCTGACTCGTGTTTCCTTTTGATGTACCCCCATTGTTGTGGCTGAGTACTTTCTTTCTTTCTGGCAGTGCAAGATGCTTATCTTGTATGTTTCCTACCTCAGTCTTACAGTCATTCACAGTCATCTTATAGTTGATTCTCCAAGAACCCCTGCTTACTTTTATTGGAGCATGGTATTAGAACCCTGGGCCCTAGTATGGCACTGTAGGTTAAACACTGGGCTGCTAACTGTAAGATCAGCGGTTCTAACCCACCAGCCACTCCTCAGAAACCATATACAGACAGGGTCACTATGAGTTGGAGCAGACCCAACAACACTTAACAAAGACAATACCATTAGAAATGTAGATCTGATCACTATCTGTGCTATTTGTTAATATGTTATTTCTTCTAGGCTCTCTTGACTGACATAGCAACCTGTGTATACACCCATATCTAAAAAAAAATTCAGATGCAGCCATCTATATATTAAACCATAAGTTCTTATTAATGTTTTCAACTAGAATTCATTATCACATGGGTCAATGTAGCCTCCTTCCTTTGCTTATCTACCACCTTCCATTACAACTGTGGCCCCCACCATCCACCATTCATTTACTTCATTGTTCAGTTCTGGTAAACATGTATCATGGTTTCAGAACTGTTAGCTGGTGTCCCGGAGGAAACAAGTCTTTCAACTAGAATACAGTTCCTGATGTACAACTTTTTTGCTTACAGACTACTCATTTCTCAAGTTACTTAGATCATTATCTTCTTCCTCTAACCCTTTCAGTGAAGTTGTTTCATACAGAGATTCTTTGTAATACAATTGGATTCTTTTGTTACATTCTGCATTCCTCCATGGGAGCTTCTGAGTTCCTCACTATTTTTTAAAAAAATGATATACATTAAGTTTGATTCTTTGTGCTGTCAAATTCGCTGGGTCTTGACAACTGCTTGATGTCTTTTGGTTACCATTATATTTTGTAGATATATACCATAGTATTTTGTAGAATAGTTTCACCAACTAGAAAAATCACCTGTAGTTTACCTATTCAAGTCCACTTCCATCTCCAAACCCCTGGCAACCTTTAACACTAATCTGTTTACTGTCTGTATAGTTTGTCTTTCCCAGAAGGACATACTTGGAATCATATGTAGCCTTCAAGACTTGGTTCCTTCCATTTAGTAAGATGCATTTATGTTTCACCCCATGTCGTTTCTTGATTTGATAATTTCTCTTTATCACTGAAGAACATTGCATCACTGATTAATATTAGAGTCCTAGTATGACATTACCGCCACTAGCCACTCCTTAGAAAGTCTATACAGGTTCACTATAATTGGGAATCAACTCAACAGCACTTAACAACAGCAGTATTGCATTGTGTAGATGTACCACTGTTTGTTTATTCGTTCACCAAATGAAGGGCATCAAAGTTGTCTTCAATTTTTGTTGTTTATAGATGAAGCTGCTATCAGTATTTGTGTGCAGGTTTTTGCATGGATTTAAGTTTTCACTTCCATTAGGCAAATATCTAGGATCAAAATTACTGGATTGTCTAGTATATTTGGCTTATAAGTTATGTCCAAACTAATATTGCAGGTGACTGTATTATTTTGAATTCTCACCAGCATTTCATATTGTCAGTTCTTTTAGATTTTAGCTGTTCAAACAGTTGTGTGTTGTATTTCATTGTTGTTTTAGTTTGTAATTCCCTAATGGAAAATGTGATGCTATATATAGACTAAGCACTGGATGGCTAACCACAAGGTTGGCAGTTTAAGCACACCAGCAGCTCCACTGAAACCCTATATAGTTGGAATTGATTTGACAACACTTAACAACATTAACAAAATGGCAAATGCTGTGTACATCTTTCCGCATGCTTATTTTCCACCTGTATCATCAACTTTGAGGTCTGTTTAGATCCTTGACTGATTTTTAAAATTGCATTGTTTGTTTTCTTATTGCTGAGTTTTAGCAGTTATTTGCATATTTTGTGTGAAAGTCATTTAGTGGATGCGTTTTACCAATATTTCCTTCCATTCTATAGCTTGTTGTTTTATTGCCTTTCACAAATAAAAACACATTTTTAGTTGCGAAGGAAAAAATCGCGTATGGATCTCGGATGTTTTGAAACCACATCCTCCCCAAAGACATGAGGATCGATCAGAATGCCATTTAATCTCTGTGGATTTCCTGTGTTACTTATATTATTGTGTTTTCAGTAAAGACTTTTCGGTATATTCTGTTCCATGGTTAATATGTGCCTTTGTTTTTTGCAGTCTCTCCATCATGAATTGTCTTCATATATTCAACAACTAAAAATAGACATTGAAAAAGGAAAACTTAATGAGACTATTTCAAAACTTGAAAAACAAATAAATAAAGAAAAGAAACGAATTCGCCGAGGAAGGACCAAGGGTCTCGTAAAGGAACATGAGGTAGAAGAATCTGTTCCCATTTAAATGTTATTTTGCAGTTTATCTTAATTTGCCATGTATGTTGTTAGCCTCAGGTTAATATGCTTTGAAAATTACTTCAGCCCTTTCTAATCTCTGGGAATTATCATGTATGCAGCCGAATTTTAGCTCAGGTTTGTGCGTCTTGCTTTTTGAGAACTGAGAAAAATTCAGCATTGAGTTAATATTTCATGATTTCCCATGCTTAGCTCCCTGTTCTTAAGACTGGTAACAAATTTGTTGACCATTGCTGAAGTACCCATAGTTGTTCTTGCCAGGACACCGTGACCCCAGAAGCATGGTCTTTGTGAAAGGTAACAATTCAGGATGTAAGGACCAAACCAACTGGGGCAAATCTAATGATCCCCTTTGGGTCATCATCCTGCTGGCAGTATGATCACTCTTCCATTTCGCAAATAGTTTTAACTTTTCTTGCCTTGGCATGCCCAATACCAGTCTTTCTTGCTTCTCCTTAGTATTTTTTTGTTTTTAGTATCCTTGACACATTTTCTTGTTTTATTTTGTTATCTTTGACTAATTTTAACCTTCTTCTTAGTAATTTTGTCCACTCCAGGGTTTAACTGCCTCCTCTATATTGATATGGAATCCCTGAATGACACTAAAACTCAACAAAAATGAGTTAAGCACCCCACTGCTAGCTGAAAGAAAGACAGGCAGCTCACCGACTTCTTAAAGCAGAACAGTGATTCACCACAGTATTCATCATGCTATATTCTCATTATTTGTGCATCTATGTTACCAGATTGGGAATCCTTTTAGGGCTAATTTCCTTATCTTTGTATCACTAGTGCCTGTTAGTAGACCTGACAAACCAGGGATTGCCTATAAAAGTCTGTTACAGTCATGGGCCTCTGTTAGTTTGTAATCCTATGGAATACAGACAGTCCCTAAATTAGGAATGTGACTTACATTCTGTATGTGTGACTTACAACCTGTAGTCTTAGAAATCAACTTTGTAAATCCGATTATGTTAAAAATCTGAGGTTGATAACAATGGTTCCTGGTAACAAACAGGTGTTACAGTGTGACCCAAACTTTTTTTTTATTACTGTAATTATTATGTTAAAAATCACTTTAGTGTATCTGGAAGTATTTCTTTAATGTTAGTTACGCATAACAAAGGCACACTATATATAAAGATGTATATGATGTTAGATAATAACCGAAACTCACTGTTCTATTTTAATAATGTTCAAATTTGACTTAAATTCACCTTGAGGAGTGGAACTCGTTCATAATCTGGGGGCTGCCTATGATCATGTAAACTCATTTGAAACACATTTCTGCCCTTTTTCCTTCACTCAGGCTTGCTTTTCTGAGGGCAGTCTGTACCAGCTTGATCATCACATGGAAGTCCTGGGGGAGCTGTGCGAAGAACTAACTTCACAGAAGAGTCGACAAGAAATAAAGAGAGTACTTAAGGATTATCAACAAAAGATAGAGAGACTTAGGAAATCCGCTTCTGAGATTCATATGGCCCTACAACCTATGGGAGGCACATCTAAAACCAAGTTAGTACTTCAGAAGAATGACTGCTTCTTTAGAGAAAACCTTTATGCAAAGCTAAATGGCATAAGCTTTATTTGGTTTCATTTTTTTCCCCTTTACTTTGGTATGAACTTTTGGTTCCTTCCTAGGGGGACCACGAACACCTCTGAGAATGGAGGAAGAGATGCCTACAGTGAGGTGCCATCTGCAAAATCAGATAATCAACTATCAGCTGAAAAGGTGTTGTATGTGGCTAGTGTATTTTAGAAGTAAACCCAATGAAAAGCTCTAAGTACACAATAATCCATTTCTCATTAAATACTGGTTTTTATTATCTGACTGTTTTCATTCACTGAAAATTCCCACATACCATACAAGGATGGCTGCTTTTCAAAAATTTGAGTGCAATGCTATAGCAGCCTACTTTTATCTTTTCTCTGATGGTACAAAAGGTTCTTGGAAAAATAGTCCATTATGAACCATTACTATTGGAGCCTTGTGTGGTGCTATAGGATAAGCTAGTACTGGCCGGCAAGGTCAGTTTGAACCACAAGGTGGACTGTTCAAACTCACCAGCTGCTCCTTGGAAACCCTATACAGGGTCGCTATGAGTCAGAACCAGCTCAGAGGCACTTGATAACAACACACTAGTATTGAGGGTAAGAGAGACTCGGCTTAATCTGCACTTAATGCCTTAGCTGCGTTGAGATAAAACAGTCCATTTTTCATTGTCTTTCTCTCATGGTAATGTATTTTACCTTCCCTTGAAATTGAGATTTCCAGATTCTTGGAATCAAAGTAAGTGAACATTTGCTGTATATCTTAACCTAGATGACCAGTTTGAGCATGTAGGGAAGGACTGAAATATATTTGTTTTGTTTTTTTAGTGATTCGCTTCTCTGCTTGTTAGGTTTGTAGCTGTCCAAAGTCCATGACCATGTGCTTTGGAGCCTGTCTGCCATAATGGGTTAAGCATTGGGCTGCTAACTACAAGGAAAGTGGTTCAAACCCACAAGCCACTCTAAGGAAGAAAGATAAGGTGGAGTCCTGGTGTGGTGCTATAGAATAAGCACTGGACTGCTCACCACAGGTTGGCAATTCAAAGCCACCAGCTGCTCCTCGGAAACCCTATACAGGGCTGCTAAAAATCAAAATTAATTTGAGGGCATTTAACATTGTGGTCATAGGCAGAAGCAGGATGTAGGGGCTGCTAGTGCTCTTTTACTGTCTTGCATACTGGTTAGAATATGAGAGACCTAGTCTAACCCAGTGTTGATCTGTGCTGAGAAACAGCTAAGAAACTCTATCTCTGGTTTGGGGTATTAAAAAATTAATGCTATAGCCTTGTAACATAAAGCGATGGTCAGGGTACTGAATATATCATGGTTGCTTTGTTGCATATTTTCTTAGACAATGGAACCAATTGAGAATTCTAACCTGGAATCACCAGAGTTAAAGCCTCATCATGAAACAAGCATCACAGAGAAGTCTGAAAAGGATTATAATGCATCTATAAATAGCTTACTAGAGAGGTAAGCAGTCCTGGTGTGGTGCCTCTGTAGAATAAAGCACTGGACCGCAAGGTGGGTTTGAACTAAAAGTCCATGGTTCAAATTCATCAGCTACTCCTTGGAAACCCTACAAAGGGGTCACTGTGAGTCAGAACCAACTCGACAGCACTAAAACACAACACACAAAAGACAGGTAAACTCTTAAGCAATGGAAAAATATACCTAAAATCTTTCATCAATGCAAACATAATTTAATATGTCTTTGCTTTAATTTAGTAGTAATATTTTATGTAGTTAAGTAACTTAAAAAGAGTTTTCTTGGGATTTTCTCATGCATAATTGATAGTAATTTTTGATAAGTTTTGTCTTATGTTTAAAATGAAGTAACTGCTTTAATTTTTTTTTTTAAAACAGATATGATACCCACAGAGAAAATCTTGAACTACACCTGCAAAACAACAAATTCAAGATTACTTCTGACTTCTCTAGTGACAAGGAAATGAGTAGTGATTGTTTACAGGATAAACTAACAGATCTACAGGTCATTGCTGAAAATGATTTCTGTTTTTGTCTCTTTCATTAGAAAATTATACTACCATGGGTATATGCTTAATCATGTTTGCTGAGGTCATGTGTGCTAGAAGTTTCTTTGTTGGGTTGCTTTTCTTGTGTTGCTTATCCCAAAAAGTCATTTGCTTTCAAGTAAGTACAAAATCTAGGAAAGTCTTTGTTTGAGGTTCCTAATCTATTTATCCTGCTCTATTTTGATAACTCCAGATGTTAATGCTTGCAGCATTTAAATTGTGTTAAGGGTAAGATAAAGGCTTCAGATAATTTGGTTAGAAACAGTGTGTTTGCAGGCAGTTTCAACCAACACTTCCTATGGTCTTTCAGAATTAGCAATACATGAAAAACCATGACTTCCAATATTTGTATCAATCATTCATCATACTGACCAAATTTTCACATTGTCTAAAATTGCAGTGTACCAATTGTTGACTACCGGGTGTTGGACAATGAGGAAGGGGCAGGAGGCAGGCAGTGGGTTTGAGGGGAGTTCACTTTATGTAATAGCTCATCATGCTGGAGAGCCTTCAAAGGAAGTGTTGAACTTAACTCAGGAGCTATAGAAAAAGACAGTCTCTCCAGTGGTTGCCACAAGAATTGTAAAGTGATACAAGTAGCTGTCTTCCTAATTTTTAAGGTTATCTGTGCACTGCAATACAACATTCTCGCAGCTTTCGGAGTACACTAGCATGAACCCTCACAGCAAACCCATCAGGTCTGGAGAAAGGGCCATAGGTGGTTCCTACAATTCTTTCTTGTGTTGTTTAGTTTCTTTTTATTAGGAATATGTTACCATCTGGCTTCTCTTCCATTTTCCATCTGAATAAGCAAAATTTATGTGTCAAAGTGTGTTGTTCAAGTGATGGATTTAGCATATTTAATTTCATAATTAAGAAACTATCTTGAGACTTTACTCCCGTGTCTGAGTAATGAATTGGTTAGAAAAAGCTATACTGATCCTTGGGGAGAATGATAAGCCTTCAGTAGGATTCTGCAGCAGTACTTTTTTTTTTTTTGAGCGAACCAAGATAAGTAGAGCATACACTGTAAATGTTCAATTAGAATCTACAGATTAATCTCATTCCGTTTTCATTTGTATAGAAGTGGTTTTGATTCGCTCCAATGGTCGTTTAGTTTAGAGGATAGCAAGTTCTACTATTTAAAAGAAATAGCATCTCTATTTGTATATATGTATCTTTCTGAATTGTATTCTGTGTACCTAGTGTAGGGGAAGGGAGGAAGTTTGGGTACCTTTAACCATTTTGTTGACTCCCTTGACTTCATTGAATGAGTCTTTTGAAAGCACTTTTAGTATCATTGTTCCCTGAGTTTACTTGTAGACAGTTGGGGTAAAAATATATATATTTTTTTAATTTTCATGTGAAACTTTGTTCCCACAATTGTTGAATGTCTCAATTTCTAAGGACAATATAAAATTGTGCCTATTAATCTGTTGTTGAATTAATTTCTGTATTTCATCTAGGTCTTAAAAAAGGTAACTGATGCTTGCTGTAAAGAATTTGAAAGCACGTCACTGAAGCTAGAAACTCTTGTGAGTGACCTGAAGAAGCCTGTTATAGCTCAGGCAAGAGACAAACTGAAGGGAAAAGTAAGGGAGTTTCAAAGGACCCTCAATGCCAGGTAGTACTGTGAAATTGATTCATATATTTACCAAATTCATTAAAAAATTTAAATGCCCTTTTAAGTTTAGATTCAGCAACAATGTGAGGATGGCATTGGACCAGGCAGTATTTCATTTTGTTGTATTTAGGGGTGCAATGAGTCACAATTGACTCAATGGCATGTAACGACAATGGAACTAAAGTAAGTAACTATGGTCTTTTATTTAGTATTCACAACAACCCCAAGAGAGGCTATGTAAGGTAAAGGTCTCTAAGGGCCCACAGATTCACTGCGTCTGGCAGCCAAAAGAACACTTGAGGTACGATGAGGAGATGGCTTATTTCTTTATTCAGCAAAACATCGGTCAGTGCAGGGTAAAGGGTCTCAGGAAGTCTGTTGCTCTTCTACTCTCTCTAGTTCTCAGAGAACTCTCTCATACTTTCTTCCCTTCATCTCTTTCTTTCTTCTCCTGTCTGTCTGTACCCCTCATGTGGGGGAAGTCCTTATGTACTACTACAGAACAAAGAAGGCATCTTGCCAAATATGACCCACAGGTTATATAGCAGTGTGACATCATTCTAGTATGACTGCATGCATAGCATGCATCACCGAGTCACACTGAGTCACACCTGCTTGGAAGGGGAGAGCGGGGCAGATAAGCTAAAACCACTCCCTGGCTAGTACCACCTTCTGACCCAGCAGGTTACCATTGTAATAGATATTTTGCAGATGAGGAAACTGATGCTTAGAGTTATTAAATAAGATAACCAAGTCATATCACCAGCCAGAGACTGAAGTAGAACTTAAGCTTTGTTGAGTTCCAACATGCATGCTTTTCCCATTATCCTCCCTTAGGCATGAATTTGGCCATGTCACAGAACCTCTTTGGGTCTTGGTTTCCTCCTTTCTAAAATAAGGTTGATATTGTTATATCCAGTACATACCCTCATTGTACAGTGGAGGGAACTGAGATTCAGTGTGTGTTACTTAGTGTGATGCAGCTTCAGAAAGATTGTGGGAAAATGGAAATGAAAAGATAAAGAAATTTTTTTTTTCCATGAACTTTTTGAAGCCCTTTCTTACAATCACACATTTTATTTTATGATCAGTAGACTCTATTCTTTAAAATCCATTATATTTGCATTAATAAAGGAGTTAATATTCATACGGAAGTTTCTTAGTCATTAAGACAGTTAAATTGCATTTAGTATTTTGTACTTCAAAAGACAGAAAAGGGCCTAGCATATTTTAGAATAATTTTCCATTCAAACATGGTGTCTATTAAATTATTTAAGGGCACTTGGGTATAGCCAACAACATACTCATTGGTATTTTAGATTGCTGGGTTTGAGTTTTAATGTAAGTATCTGTACACATCACTCTGTGCATTTGTATTGGTAGAATTTTATGTGCATGGTAAAGTAATGGCGTTAGTATGTTTCATAAGATGCCATTGTGCTGTGTCTTTCTTTCTGGTTTATTTCACCCAGAGTGGAGTCTTTAGAGACAGCACTGCGGATTGTGTTACCACTAGAGAAGGAATCACTTCTTCTCTGCGACTCGGACTTGTTCCTCCATGAAATGACCATTCAGGAATTTCATCTGACTGATGCTAATAGCATTAATCAAAACCTGAAGGTAAACTCAAGTTCTTACAGTGTATTTACAGAATAGTCATTATTCACAGATTTGTAAGTGTTTATGGATTTTTCATTATGTATCAATAGTTTATCTGTAGAATATAAGGCCATGACAGTAAAGTCTTCAATAAACCTTCATATTAGACTTCAACAGATTTGGCATTTAATCTCAACTCTTTAATTCCTTGCAAATTTGGAGGTAAGTACTCTAGAATTAAAAAAAAAAAGGGGGGTTCTTTTCATTCAAAATGAAGTCTTGATTATAAACACGTTTTCCAATAAATAAATTCCTAAATACCTTGCTAAACTAATTTGCTTAAATTGGCAAGAACACTCCACTGTTTACTTATTGAAAACCCATGTTAAATAAAAAATACTTAGAATTTATTTTTACTAGGTTGTAAAACATATCTCTTAGCTGTTAAGTCTCTAGTTATTTGCCATGAAGGAACAGATTTATACGTGTGTTTTGCTTTTGGATTTGAGACTTCAGAAAGGGGATCTGGTAATGAAACAGCTGAGACTGCTCAGTTGTTATTAACATCTTACTTCTGTCAGAGCTGCCAGCTTCGGTGAAACTCAGGAGAATTTCTCAGTTCAATCCTAGACATTTAATTTGGGGATAGTTTTGGGTACAGCCTAATGTTTTTTTCTGCTCAGTCTTTTCAGCTTTTCTTGCATTTATTTTAGAACATCCAAGAATCCATAGCGAAACAGATTGAAATACTTAACAACTGGGAAAAGTCGGGCAATTTTGCATTCAAAGAATTACACAAATCTGACCTACATGCAACTCAGTATCTTATACTGAAATGCATAGAACAACTTGAAGAAATGAGCCACAAGGTTCAGAGCAGCGAAGAGGCCCTAAGAAATCTGGAAGAGTTTTTGGCTTCACTAAGAACAGCTGAACTTTCCATTGAACTTAGTACAGAGCTTTCAGCTTCAGATACACAAGTATTGCCAGAAAATACTTTGACAACAGAAAACACAGAGGGAAAAATTCATCTGATGAAAGATAAGGCTAGACGTTTGGATAAACATTTGAAGATGCTTCATCTAAGCTTTAAAGATGCTGAGCAGGGGGAACACACCTCCTGTGAAAAGCTTACTGATGTTTTGTCAACAAAGTTTGGTCTACATGAGGAACTCTCTGAGGAAAACAAATTGCTAGAGATTTGCATATTCAAAAACAATGAACTCCTTAAAAATGTTCAAGATGTGCAGAATCAAATTAGTAAAATTGGTCTTAAGGATCCAACTATTCCAGCTATAAAACAAAGGTAAGAATTGTTTCTGTTCATTTCCACCCAGATCATTTACATATTCACATATGCGTTAGATGAAACAAATACTTTCTACTTGTTTCACTCCTTTTAAAATGTTTTTTAAAAAATTTTTGAATTTTTGATTTACAGAAAATTTGCAGATGGTTCTCTATACCCTCAATCTTAAAGAAGTTTTCATTCCTAAAGTGCCTCTGTTTTTAATGAAGTGGTAAATTATTAATTTAATCCTAGCAAATTTTAATTGTTGCTATTAATTGCTGTTGAGTTAGTTTAATGATAGGTTTATAAATAACAAGCGGGAGCGTGGTGGCTCTGTAGGGTAACCACTGGACAAGATCGGTGGTTTAAGCCCACCACCCACAATATGGGAAAAAGATGAGGCTTTCTGTTACACAAAGACAAAACAGTGTCAGAAACCTTATTCAGGGTCACTAAGAGTTGGAACTAACTCGACAGTACTTAACAACAGCAGCAACAAATAACAAGTAATAAATTATATATGAATTTGTAAGTGAAAGACTATAGTGCTTCAAAAAGTTAGTGGAGAAATTGAAAGAAAAGATCATGGAATTAAGCAGTTACAACAGAGATGGTGACATGGAGAGATAGAGCAGCTAAAGACTCTAGACTCATGGAAAGAGAAAGACTGTGTGCTGGTGGCCAGGAGGCAGGTTTTACAGATTATATATTCCTGAGTGTTTTTGTGCACATTTAAAAAAAGAAGAAGAAATGGAAATACCGTTGAATGAGGGGAGGGGAATGTAGTCATTGCAATGAAACGAAATATAGGATGAGTGCAAAACCCAGTTCTCCCATGTAACTGTCTCTCCATTCACAATAAAAGCTTTAAAAAAAAAAAAGGAATCTTTCCATGAAATTTTTTGAAGAGTTCTCATAAGTTTGTAAATGATAAAATGATTTCATTATTAATCTGGTTATTAACAGAGCAAGTGTGTATTGACTGTCGGCTGTGTGCCAGGCACTCTTTTAGGTATTGAAAATAAGCAGTTAACAAAATAGGAAAAAAATTTTCTGAGCCTTATAATATAGTGGAGATAACACTATATTTGGTGTTGGTAAAAAGCTGTGTAGAGAAATTAAGGTAGGAAGTGGGAGAGAGATTGAAAAGATGGGTTCGCAGTTTCAAATTGTATCGTCAGAGACTATAAGTAAGGATTCCTGGTGTGGCACTGAGCACTGGACTGTGAATCACAAGGTCTGTGGTTCAAACTCAAGAGCTGCTCCTTGGAAACCCTATACAGGGTTGCTGTGAGTTGGCACCAACTTGACAGCACTTAACAACAACAAATGGTAAAATAAGATGAGAGAGCAAGTCATGTGATTACTTGGGTAGAAAGAGCCTTCCAGGCAGAGGGAACAGCAAGTACAAAGACCTGTTGTGTAATGGTCCTGGTGTATGTGACGGAGTATAGAGGCTGAAGCAGAGAAGAGAAGAGCAGTAATGGGGGGGGGGGGGGAAATTGCAGGTTATAGGATGACCCTGGCTTTTTCTTTCAATGTGGTGGGGCATCATTAGAGGGTTCTGAGCAGAAACAAAATATTTGGCTCTCATTGTAACAGGCTCTCTTTCTGGTGGATGTGTTGGAAATAGGTTGTATGAGGCCAGGGCATATGCAGGAAGACAGTGTGACCTGCTGCGGGTATGGAATGATGGTGGCATGGACCCGTGGTAAGGTTGGAAAAAAGGGTTTATAGTCTGTATACATTTGAAAGATAAGAGTCTGCAAAATTTGTTGATACACTGGACATTGTGTATAAAACAAATAGAGGGATCAAAGATGATTCCAGTGATGTGACCTGAATAACTAGAAGCATGCAGTTGGCATTTACTGAGGCGAGAAAGATGAAAGTTGACCAGATATTAAAAGAAAGGTGAAGGGTACTTGGTTGTAGAAATGATAGGTTTAAAATACTTATTTGATATTCAAATAATCAGTATCAACAACACTGTTCAAAATAGGTGGCACCTAGAGTCAGGCGAGAAGTCTAGAAATATAAATTTTAGAATGTTATTTGAAGTTGTGAGAATAGATGAGCTTGTCAAGTGAGTGAGTGAATATATAGGTAGAAAAAAGAGACCTAAGGTGTAAACTCCAAGCACTCACGCTTGATAGACCAGAGAGATGAAGCGAAACCAGCCAGAGATGCCGAGGAGCAGCCATTGCCTTAAGAAGCAAGTCGAGCGAGTTCTGGAGGCCAAGTCAAGGTGTTTCAAGGAAGTGAACAGCTGTGCCACATACTGCTGCTTATTGAGTAACGTGAAGATTGAGAATTAAGCATGGATTTAATGGAGTCGCAGTTAATGGAGACCTTGAAGAGCAGTTTTGCTGGAGTGGTAGGTTGTGAAAGCTTTTGGGTTCAAAAGAGACTTGGAGGAAAGGAACTAGAACTAGGAAGTGAGACTCAGGTAATAGAGTTAATCCTCTTGGGATTTGTTTGCAGGTTAATATTCTTAGTTCAAATGCATCCTTTTTGAGAAGAGAAAGATTTTTTTCATTGAGGTGAAAAGATGTACAATGAAACCTTGGCCACTTCAACAATTTCTACATGTTTAATTCAGTAACATTTATTTTGTTCTTTGTGTTGTACAACCATTATCACTGTCCTTGCACAAGTTAGTTCCTTCCATTTACATAAGCTCAGTGCCCCTAAGCAAAACATCCCCCTTCTCCCCTTCCCCATACCCTTGGTAACCACTGGTAATCTTAGGTGTTTCTATGCATTTGTTTCTTTCATATAAATGAAAACATGCAGTATTTGTCATCTCTTGACTTTAGCATAGTGTTTTCAAAGCCCATTCATATTGTGCCTTGTATCAGGGCTTCATTTATCTTCATGGCTGAATAGCAGTCCATTGTATGTATATACCGTGTGTTGTTTATCAATTCATCTATTGATGGACATTGCGGTTGGTTCTACATCTTGGCTATTGTGAAAAGTGCTTGTGAAAAATGAACACTGGTGTATTCTGTTTGCATTCTGCTTTCACTTCTTCCAGGCTTATATCTAAAATTGGGATTGCTGGGTCATATTTTATTCGATGTTCAATGTGCAAGCAGTCCCCAGGTTACGAACGAGATTCATTCCTAAGCCTCAGTAAGTCTTTCCATTGAATTTGAAACTAAATAATCAGACTAGGTGCTTATGGGTCTTACTTTACTATAAGAAAAAGAACTTTTTTAAAAAAGCCTTTTCAGTAATTTGAAAGCTGCATGTACAGCAAGTAAGGTGATTGCTATGCAAAATGTGTTGCAAGTAGGAGTTGGTTCAAAGTGAAGGTGAATTTAGATAGCATGAAAGGAAAAGTACAAGTTGTCTGTAAATCCATTGTTTGTAACCCGGGGACTGCCTGTATTGAGAAACTGCCAAATTGTCTTTCACAGTAGATGTTCCATTCCCCATTCCCACCAGCAGTGGATGAGAGCTCCTGTTTCTCCACAACCTTGCCAACATCTGTTTTCCATTTTTTAAATCATTACCATTCTACTGCTATCTCATTGTGGTTTCGTTTTACACTTTCTTACTGGTTACTGATGGAAAAGCTTTTCATCCACAGAGAAGTGCCAGCTTTTCCCTTACTCTTTCCCTTCCTCTTGCCACCTCTTCACCCTCTCTTCAGAGCCTTGCAACACATCCATCCCTTTTCTTTCTCTCCATATCAAAATGGTACATGCATGTATACTCATGTACTATCTTTGCCTGCCACATGTTTTCATTTGTGTGTACACATCCTTTACAAGTGTGTTCATCACAGAGTATTACTCCTCATGGTTTTGTATAGTTTTTACATTTGAAACATCAAATTGATATTGCAGAAATGCAAGAAACCTCCTGAACTTTGTCCCAGAAATGTGTAATTTTGACACAAACCTCATGAGATAAATTAAAGTTAGTGTGTTCCTCAAATTATCCATATTTCATAGAATTGAATTGGGTAATCATTGGCTATCAACTTTTCTCCCATCATCTAGGAAAAAATTGCTGATCAGAGCAGAAAAGGAGCTAGATGAATATGAAGAAGAGAAGAAACACTTGCAAGAAATGGCTAATTCTCTTCCACAATTCGAAGATGTCAGAGAAAAAACTTTGAGTCAGCAGTGCCAAAGTACAGTGCTTTTGTGGGAGAATACAAAGGCTTCAGTCACTGAATGGTAATGCACACAATTCCTCCCAAATCTGAAAAAATTGTCTGTAACCAACAAAGTTTTTGAAATTTTTATGTTAACAAAATATCCCTTGGACCTAAAGTCATAAGAGTTAGACTGGAAGCTCACCTAAAGCACAGATTATAGCTGGAAGACACCAAACAGGTTGTCTACTAGGGATAACAAATATACACTGTATTCCTAATTACCAGTATCCCACCTATATTTGTTTTGTGACAAATTACTGTAGGTTTAATGCCTTAATAATAACACAGATTTATCAGCTTCCAATTCTGGAGATCCCAAATCCTAAAATCTAAGCTAGATCCACTTATCTTCTGGGGCCTCTAGGAGAGAGTCTGGTTCCTGAGTTATCCAAAGGGTCCTTACAAAGAAGAGGTAGGAGGGTCAAAGTCAGATGAGGATAGAAGCAGAGATCAGAGACAGAGATTTGAAGATGCTATGCTGCCAGTTTGAAAACTGGAAGAAAGGACCAAGAGCCAAGATATATGGCCTCTAGCACCGTGAAAGGCAAGGAACCAGAGTCTCTCCTAGAGCCCCCAGAAGATAAGTGGATCTAGCTTAGATCCACTTGATTACTCTAGCCAATAATTATCCAATTCACTGTAGTCTTGCCTACAGTGCCTGAGCAAAGCCTACTAATTTTTCTTAATTGTGTGAAAGCCATTGACTGTCAGTCCCAGTTGGCAACTGTGCGTATTCTCCTCTTATGCCCTCTTCTGCTGAGTCCCTGTCTGGGTCCGGGGTGTGGTGGAGAGGGCTGATCCCTACAAACTGCACCCCCCAGGCCAACGTTTCCAATTCAGTTAAGAACTGGAAGGTACTAGTAGGAGATTCAGGGCAAACAGAGAGAGCAGTCAGGATGTTCTTCCCCTTTGTCCTGTGATCGTGCCTTCTTCCAGGGCTCAGGGCACTTTCTGCCCTTGCCCCTGGAGGGTGAATGATACAATATTCTTGCTATGGCTATATTCCCTGGTACCTCCGCATCCCTGGTGGTTTCCCTTAACTCTGACAACACCTCTGTCTGTGGTCCTTTGACTATATTCTCTTCAGAATTCCACCTGAGTGTATCTCCTCTTTCCTACTGGAACCCAGAGTTTATAGTAGTTAGGATAACACCTACCTGCAGTATTTGAATCGGGCTGCGAACCTTAAGGCCAGCAGTTCAAAACTACCAGCTGTTCTGTGGGAGAAAGATGAGGCATTCTGCTCCCGTAAAGACTTACCGCCTCGGAAACCCTGTACAGGGTCGCTATGGGTCGGAAACGACTCGACAGCACTTAACAACAACAACAACTCTAATTTTACAGAAGAATTGAGATTCAAAGATGCTAAAGTAATTTATTCAAGGTCCCGTGTCAAATTAGTGACCAGCCATAACTTTAAAAAAAAAAAAGAGAGATGCCACTTTATCTCTACTGCTTTACTTTTTCAAAAAAGCTCCATTTTGAATGAATAGAAAAATTGTTGATAGCTGCTGTTGAGCAACCTCAACACATGGTGACCTTAGAACTGAATGTTACAATAGAACTCAATGTTGCCTCGTGTGTTTCGTTTCCAGAGTTGCCAGTGTGTTTGCGGTCAGTGTTGTGCTAATTGTACCAGTCATCTCACTGAGGGTCTCCCTCACCCTTGCCAGCCCTCTACTTCACCAAACATGATGTCCTCCAAAAATAATGCTTGGTAAACACTGTGTTCCAAGTTGTCCATTTAGTTAATAATGAAACACATGCTAATTCCTTACTGGGTTTCCCTCTAGAACTTATATAAAGTGGTTTTAATGTTGACCTGGTAAAAATATTAATCCAGTGATGATTTAAACTATCTATTTGTTAAACAAATACCTATCCCCTCATTCTTAGATTTACTTGAAAAAAACATCATAAACAATTTCTGTAACTTACTAGTAATTGCTTATCGGGTGCTTACAAAGCAAAAGAATGGTTTTATTTTCAGACATTTAATTCTGCTTTACATTATTTCTCTTTGTAGCCTTGAGCAGTGTGAAAGAGTTTTGGAGCTGTTAAAGCAATACCAGAATTTAAAAAATATCTTAACAACTTTGATTCAAAAAGAAGAGAATGTCCTCTCACTTCAGGCGTCGTACATGGGAAAGGAGAACCTGAAGAAAAGGGTAACAGCGGTGAGTCCAAGTTCCAAAAGGAAATTCTATACAGGGGGCTCACTTGTAAGATGTAACATGGCAGCAGAGAGGCTATTTTAAATGGGGTCATGTTCAAAACTTGATTTAAAAGAAGTTACTTGTGACTCAGTTTCAACCAGGTACCTAAGGATTTGTTGAATTTATTAACAGGACTTGAAAACTTAGTTCCCAAGTTGATGCTGGGTTATTTTCACATTGGATTTTGGTTCTTGGGATGTTCGTCTGCTAAACTGGGGTCACCCCTGCTGCTGCATATGTAAGCTTGTAACAGCCTGAACCTTTCTGTAAAAGGAACTTGCAAGTTCACACCAGGCTGGAGAGAATGACAACAGTAGGAAAAATTCCTCTGTTTGTGGATTTAGGAAAAATTACCTTTTTATTTATTCACTTTCTGTAAAGATGTGTAAGCTGAACTGTAATTTGGTCCATCTGCCTTCATAGTCTTACCAACCATAGCTACATATTGTCTAAGAATAACATTTTTTGGACACTAGGTGTCATTGTTTTCTCTGGTTTTATGTGCAAGTAGCAGAAGTATGGTTCTATAATCAAAAGAATACACTACACTATGTGACTATACAAGAAAGTTGTTTTCCGCCTTGTTCTTGTGAGTGCTAGCGAAGGTGCTGTCAAAGAGTCAAAAGCACATGTGAAATGTAGTTATTTAAACCTGGTTGTCTTAACAAGTTTGTCAGGCTTCCTAGTTGCTGAGAGCAACATCTTAAATAGATGAGATCCTTACAAGCAATTTGCCTCTTTGTTTTTAAGTGCTGTCAAGTCAGTTCTGACTCCACCCTGTATAGGGTTTCTGAGGAGTGGCTGATAGATTCGAACTGCCAGATTTACAGTTCAAACTGACATTGCAGTCAAGTGCTTATCCTCCAGCTCCACACCAGACTTTATCCTGGTGTGGTGCTGTGAGTTAATGTGCTGCACTGTAAAGTTAGTTTGAACTGCAAGGTCAGCAGTTGAAGCTCACCAGTCGCTCCTTGGAAGCCCTATACAGAGTCGCTATGGGTCAGTTAACAACAACAGTAGTCTTTATCTAATATCTGGACTTTATCTAATATCGAGTAGAACTCTTTGTATTTATTAACCTCGCTTCTATTTCTGAAGCTGAAGTGGCACTTATGGTCCAGACCCAGCCAGTACAGTATGACTAGTGGTTTGGGAGCCACTTTCTCAGCTCTGACCAACCAGAAAGAGCGCCTGTTGGAGGCCAGTTGTACAGAATGTGCTAGTCTGTGTACCTGGTTTTGTGTCAGACTTCGTTGAGGAAGGCTAGCGATCTCTAGAACAGTCAGTTGGAGCACTCAGTCTGGTTCCATCTGGCAGAGGCAGCATCTAGGTTTGCCTGGTCTCAGCATCTGTACTCATCTGGTTTTCATTCCAGGGAACTTTGGTTCCCATCTCAAGAAGCCTTGGAGGCATTGTAAGCTAAGCATTGGGCTGCTAACCACATGGTTGACGGTTCAAACCCAATGGCCAGTCTAAGCGAGAATGATGAGGTTGTTTGTTCCTATAAAGATGCAGTCTGAGAAACCCTAAGGAGCAGTGCTACTCTGCCCTATACAGATAGGGTTGCTATGAGTCAGTGTTTATTTGATGGCTGTGGGGTTGGGTTGATCCCTTTCAGAGAATCCAGTGTGTTTGATCTCCAAAGATGACCTCCACGTTGTGTCTCAGGACACACAGCTACCCTTCTGTTGTGCCTCTAATACCAGTTTCCCATCTGACAGTCTTTCTTTTTTTCAGAACCAGGGTATCTGCTATGTTCTTTCTAGTTCCTCTCGTTTTGAGGCTCTTCTTTGTTTATGTTAGTCCTCCATTCTGGAGTCCTTCCTTAGCCTTACTAAGGAGGATCCTGTTAGTAGTGAAAAGTCATCCCTGATTGTGTGAACTGGCATCTGTAAAGGGCCCAGCAGAGTTCTGGGGCCTTCAGCAACACCTCAGTAAATGTGGGTCATGATGCCCTGCCCAGACAAGCCCTGTTCGCTGGTGCTCACACATGGCTTCCCACTACTCTGTAGTTGTACTTTGGTTACAGTTGTTGTTGTTAAGTGCCATCAAGTCAGTTCCAATCTGTTGCGACCCTGTATAGGGTTTCCAAGGAGCTTCTGGTGAGCTTGAACCACTGACCTTGCAGTTCAAACAGCTTTGCAGTCTGACGCATGAACCCACAGCGCTATACCAGGACTCCTAACTTTTCATTAGGGTTGTATTTAATTTATAGAACAATTCGAAAAATTGTCATCTTTAAAATATTGCATCTTCTAACCTATGAGTCTAATAAATTAAAAGATAATGGAATTTTTCAATAAACTTTTTGACGATCCTTCATGTAGACCAAACCAGTTGCTGTCAAGTTGATTCCAATTCAGGGCAACTTAATGTATGTCAGAGTGAAACTGTGCTCTACAGAGTTTTCAAAGGATTAGTGTTTGGAAGTAGATTGTCAGGACTTTCTTCCAAGATGCTTCTGGATAGATCCAAACTTCCAATCCTTTTGGTTATCGACCAAATGCATTAACTGTTTGCATGACCCAGTAACTCACATACACACAGAGAGAGCTTTGAGTTTTTTGTTATGCATTTAGTATCATAACCATTTTCTGTATATTTGGACATGTGTAAAAGAAAAGGATTTTATATACTAATTTGAATTCAGTTTGAAACAATTATTAACTATTGAACTTTTATGCAAGGGGTAAATGCTTTCAAAAACATTTCTACCATTAAGTAAATACTCAGTTCTGGTTATCTAATTATATGAAGATCTGTTCAGTCATAGACATAAGTCTTTGCCATCAATCTGATGTGCAAAGTCAGCCTCCCCCAAATATACCATATTACATTAAGTCTAAAACTCCATCAATTGTAAAGACAACATTCTTGTTTTTAATACAGAACATGAAAACACAGTTGTATGTTTTAATTAATATACTATTAATTAGAAGAAACATACACATTCAGTATAAAAATATTTTTTCACATTAAAAAAAAAACACACCCAAATCCAAATAACTAGCTTAACAGTAGTCCTTGGAAGATAACTGTTAAGCCATATGTCAAAATAGTAAAGAAAATGTCTTTTCCTTTTTTTAATAATTAGTTTTAGACAAGTTTATGTGATTTACAAAAATAGAATGAGTATACACTTAAAAGTATAGAAACTGGTATTTATATAATTAATGATATTGGCATTTGGGCACAAACGAATGGCTCATCCTCTTCTTTGTCACTGGGGCAAAAGCATCCTGTAGCTCCTTAGGAAATTATGTGAATACTTACATCAGCATATTTTGATTATAAATTCACCAGGGATATATAAAAGAATGTAGGCTTTTAGTAAATTATATGCCTAGTATATACATAATTTGAATGACTATATAATATATAATAATAACATAGTTCACTTAAGCATAACCCAGAGAAGAAAGTTATGATTACAATATACTTTAAGCTTCTTACTATTTTAAATAATTCTATAGACTTAAATATTTCCAGAAAGTATGATAGAGTAAAGTTTGCATTAATACATAGAGAATTGATAGAAATTAGAAAAACAGAGAACCTAATGAATAAAATGTATAAAAGAAATGTATTTTCAATTTGTTTAAGTATACATACATATATATGTGTGTATGTATATATATCTATATACATGTGTGTGTGTGTGTGTGTATGTGTGTGTGATAGTGTTTCTTCTGCTGTACATAGGGGCACTATGAATCTGTATCCACTTGATGGTACCTAACAACAATTTCTTTTGAGAAATAGTTTAGCAGTATGATTCAAGATCCTTGAAAAACATTCTAACATTTGACTCAATCTTTTACATTAGGAATCTATTCTCAGGAAATAATCCTTGTTGTTATTGTTAGGTGTCATCGAGTCAGTACCGACTCATAGCAACTGTTTGTACAGTAGACCGAAACACTGCCTGATCCTGGGCCAACCTCACTACTGCTGTTTGCCACACTTGAGTCCATCAATACTGCCATTTGGCGAATCCATCTAGTTGGGGGTCTTCCTCTTTTTCTCTGACTTTACCAAACATGATATCCTTCTCCAGTGACTGGTCCCTCCTGACAATATGTCCGAAGTATGAGAGACAAAGTTTGGCCATCTTGGCTCCAAGGAGCACTCTGGCTGCACTTCTTCAAAACAAATCTGTTGGTTCTTTTGGCAGCCCATGGCACTTGCAATATTCTCCTCCAACACTGTAACTCAAAAGTATCAATTCTTCTACGGTCTTCCTTATTCACTGTCCAGCTTTTGCACGCATATGAGGTTATTGAAAATACCATGGCTTGGGTAAGGTGAACCTTAGTCCTTAAGCTGTCATTTTTGCTCTTCAACACTTTAAAAAGGTCTTGTGCAACAGATTTGCCTAATGCAATACGTCCTTTGATTTCTTGACTGCTGCTTCCATGAGTGTTGATAGTTGATCCAAGAA